AGGACCGCATCGTTCTGCCTGCCTCGGTCTGGGAGCTACAAGTCTGAGCGTGCAGATCAGTGGGCGGTGCTGCGTGGCAACCGTTTCATACGGTACTACCTTAGCGTCTGTCACGAGTCCTTGGTCGCCATGCCTGATGAGTACAAAGTCTATTTGTGTCTTGGTACTCCCGCTGTAGAACGTGATGAGATGGGAGTCACGTTTACGAAACTTGTGTTCAGAATGACGAGATTATGCGACTCTGCATACTCAAGGACTCGCTCACCATCGGCGTTCCGTGAACCGTAGCCGAATCCGCCATGACAAGCATAGCCGTCTTTTGCAGCGCCCACGTGTCCGTTTAAATCGCCGGCTACAATGATACCGTCTTTTGGTGGCACTTCAGCCGTCTTCTCGTCCAGCAGAGCCCAGAACTCGTCCTTGGACTGCTCAGAGCATCCAGTTTGTGGGGCATATGCAGAGAAGAAGTGGTACAGTCGTTGTTCAATAGCGACAACAATCTTCATTAAACGGTCGTCGAAACGAACTACGCTCACAATCGAATCGCGAAATCGCTGAGACACGATCACCACACCACTTGTAGTTTTCGGCCCGCCACAAAGAACGGCTTTGAAGCCGCGGCCTAACTCTTTCGACTTGCAGCCAGCCCATCTCGTCTCTTGCACGGCACAGAGGTCGATCTTTCTACGCTCTAGGGCTTCTGCTAACTCGTACGAGCGTCCAGTCAGCGTCCCCACATTCAGCGTCGCAATACGAGCCTTCAACACATTGCACGTCTTTCGGACTAGCCTGGTTGCCCCCGATGCCGTCCTTGCAACGAGGACCCTCGCATATTTTTCACACTCGTCGGGCCTTGCGAGTGCGCGTCGGCTCCCGCGGACGCCGTAGCATTATCTCGAATTCATAAGGCATAGTTAACATAATGATGTGACATGGGGTGTTCGTAAGCCGGCCCGTCACGAAGGCCTGTCGCCTGCGTTCGGTTTGTCCGTGTTCTGCTCAGCCCGCAAAAGCGAGCAGGTCCCGGTGGCACCACTTGGAGGAACGGACGTCACCACCAATTCCGCTTTCCGTTATTACTTTTTCTTATTAGGAGCACATACAATCATAAGCAGTCCATCGCAAGGGAGGACGCATTCAATTCACCAATGATGAAATTGCATTGCAACAGTTCGTCGGATAGTGTTTCCCAAAACTTTTTTTTGCATAGGGCACACTCGAAGTTTATTATCTGTCACGAGTTTCCACTTCTACTTAATGGTTTTCATTTTCTTCACTGGTAAGTGGTGTTTTGCACTGGATGACGCGAAAGAAAATGATTAATGAGCCAGAAGGGCCAGAACTTCATTTTGCTTCCATGCAACGAGCAGGTCCGAAGAACCCGTGTACTGCCAGGGGGCTTCATTAAGGTTCTCGATGGGTTTTGCTTTTTGAAGGGTGGAGGTGCAATCGCGAGGTTTGTCATGAGCTCTTGGAGGGCAGAATCGTGTGTATAGTTGTGCTTTCTACCCCTGATCACAACATTTCTCCGTACTCTGACGAGGACTATGTTTCAGAGTGTGAGTGGAGCGGGATGGGAGGAGGGATACTAGAAGTAAGGTAAGTGTAATGGTGCAGTTCTCTACTTTTTTCAGAGCGCGTGGAGCGCTCGCTAAGTCACGTCACGTGCGCGCTAACATTTACGAGCGCCAGCTCCTTGGTTTGTACAATACACTTTCTCACTCACGATAGCAGATAATAGCATGACTTGTTGCCGCACGTTATCGTGTTGCGCCAGAGTAAGTAGAATAACCTTTATCTCGGCACTAGTTACGCTTTTCTGCCCATTAAATCAGATTTCATTTTAGTTTTTGATCGAATTTTTCCTCCGTAAGTAGATTCGACACGAATTCGGAATGGGAAGGTCCAGTTGCCTGAATGCGAATATCGCACACGCTTGAATTGAAAATGTGTTGTGTCGTTGAAGCAGATGCCTGCGTCGCTGCCAGTTTCGTCCGTAGTGCGCGCATGTCAGGGCGCATCATTGGTTGGGGATTTTAGTCGGTCTGTACGACCCACCCCTTTTTTTGGAAAGGGTTGGTACGACCCCCCCCCCTCCCCTGCAGCCTCTGTTCCTCCTCATCGAATCGAGCCGTCGAGCGGGGTGGGGGAGCATATAGTACGCATGAGACAGGAAAATGAAAACAAAATCACCAAAATCAACCACCACTCCTACAACGCCAAAACGTAAATACGACCCCCTCCCAACAATGACCAAGTACGACCCCCCCCCTTTACAACGTCCGTGAAGCGAGAAAAATCAACTATCAAAATAAATTTTTCCTCAGCCCAAATACGACCCCCCCCTTTCCTGGCGGCCAAATACGACCCCTGGTTTGACCACATTTCTCGAGCATTTTTGGTGCTGCAGGTTGCTATTCGTCTTCTGTCTGTGTCACCTCCATTAGCGGTTAAAGTTTAAACCTTGGCAAGACTCGACTTGGGTCCTGCCCGGGGTCAAGACTTCTGCCCTAACTCGGCTGCGGTCAAAGACATCTAAAGCGCGACAGTGCTTGCATATAGTAGTGATTTTAATGCTATTCGGATTGAAACACTGCAGCGTTTCCAGTCCGCATTCATTCTTTGCGACTGACCAGGGAAGTCCGCCAACTTACCATGGAACTTTGAATGGAGACCTGGGTAGATCGATAGTCTATAAGGTTATTTACAAATATAGATAGCAAAACTGCAACCTGCATTTCACAAGCAACTTATGAGCAGGTAAAGTTTGTAATGGTGCAGTAGGGTGGAGGCTTGGTGGTGAGCTGTGAAGCATAAGCGAGGAATCGCATCGAATCGAGTCGTCGAACGTCGAACCTTACCACTGAACCACCACGACTCGATTCGACGTATGCGATTCCTCGCTTATGCTTCACAGCTCACCACCAAGCCTCCACCCTACTGCACCATTACAAACTTTACCTGCTCATAAGTTGCTTGTGAAATGCAGGTTGCAGTTTTGCTATCTATATTTGTAAATAACCTTATAGACTCTATCGATCTACCCAGGTCTCCATTCAAAGTTCCATGGTAATTTGGCGGACTTCCCTGGTAGGGAGATTGTTTGGGAGACTCGGAGATTTGGGAGAATGCGCGATTGCAGTAGAGATATCTCCTTGGCGACTGCGAAGATTGAGCGAACCAGCATTTTGAGAGACCCGGAGATCGCTCAGTCCCCGAAACCGCCTGATCGCTCAATCTCCGTAGTCGCAAAGTATGATCGCGGCCTTATGCTAAATGAATAGGGTCTTGTTGCGATGTGCTGCCAAGTGGTCTTTCTCAACTACACTAGTGCCGGAATTCGTCATCTTTTTTTTTTTTCGCCCATGTGTTCATTATAATGATCGATTGCTTCAAAAAGGCAATATTTATTGCTTTTTCCGTTTCATGTGAAGGGTCTTCCGGTTGGAAAGGCTTATTGTACCCGTGACTACTGAACACATAAAAACCGGTTTTGTATTAGGCAGCTAGAAGGTAATAGAAATTGAAATACTTTTTCCAGAAGTCCTTTTGCGTCACTGTTGTAAAACCTTCAGCTGATTGTAGTTGACTTATGCTCTTCTCTTTCATATGTGCTTCTGTTGATAACCAGTTTTCATTTTGAATCTAGGCTTTGAATTTCTTGGTAGCCCATCCTTCCGATCAGGCGTTGCTCCTATGTCTTCTCTTTTCCTAAAGCATCTGCCCCTTCAGTTAGAAACTAAACAGTTCAAAAGATTGGCGTGTAAGAGGGCAAAGTCTCTAGAGCGCTAATGTTTTGAAGAAGGGCAGGGGGAAGCGCATCTGTTCGTCTTCCTCGCCAACGGTTCAGCTAAGTGGAAGCTACGCTTCCCTGTGAGCTATCCCTTAGTGATTCTGATCGTCCGCGCTCTTGGCCTGGGACCTGGTAGGGTATGGGTACAGTATCGTGATGTGCTTGAATGGCGCTGTCAACACAACAACTTCTTGCAACAAATCAATTTTCCCTTTTTCCGCAACTTCATCCTAAGCTTCCAAAGTTTCGGGGAGAACAGGTCGTCACCAATAACTACTAATTTCAGCCATCAGCCCGTAGTGGTTCTGCGGTAGTTCTGCGGCAAATGAAGGCTGTGAAGGTATAGGGGATAGAGGAGTGCTGCGGAATACCTCCCCTGTCCTGAATAAATTTGTGTTGCCTCCCCTATCCCGAATGAATTTGTGTCTATCTCTAGTGGGATCAGACAATTTGTGTGATGTTGACACCGGTGCATCTTTTAGATGAGTCTTTCTAGATTTATTTCTTATAGAAATCTAGTTTTGTGTTGCAAGTTGGATGTTCCAAATTTCCTTTGCTTTTCCACCAACCTAATATTATAGTTGGGAGTGATGCTTTTTTCGTTAAAATAAGCTTTTCAACGCAGTTCGGCTTGGGGGGCATTTTGCACTTTCGTTGCGTCCTACTATCGTGCTGAGCCATCAAAAACAGATTCGTGAAACCTGTGAAGGCATTAACTAATAGTCAACGTTTGTAGAGAGTGTTTGTCAGATTTTGTAAGGCACTGAATACCACCGGGAAGTAGCGAAAGTACAAATATGTCTATTGTCTGTTGGGATTGCTACCGTTTCCTGCTGACACATCTGTAAGAAGTTTTCATGTTTATCTGTTAGTTGATTTATTGATAAAACTCGCTAAGTATAATGCGCTAGAATTCGTTTGCCAACGAAAAACGGTAACGAGACCTCCTCATAACTCTCCTTATTGATCTAATTTTCATCCAAAAGTGCAATTTCACTGGATACGGTTGTCTGCGCTCATAAGATGTGCCCTTAGAAGCTTTTCATTTTTTCGTCCTCCACACCGCATATCTCCAATATCTCCGAGCACTCTACGTTTGTGCACTTACGGCCTTCGTTTGCCCCCTCGCAATCTTGCTGTTGCTTCTTATGTAGCCTTTTTTACTTGAGATGGAACTATGCTCTATTGATTGATTTTCTTCTAGACTATGGAACAAAAATCAAAACTCGATCCAAATCTCACTGCGCGAAATCTCCTGTCGATTCAACGCATTGATCCGTGTGCGGTCGCGATTCTTGACAAGGTAAGATTTTGGAATTTCAGTTAATTTCAGGGGGTACTTTCCACTTTTGCTGCTTTCAATCGACGTGTCGGGCCATCAAGTGGGAGCCTGTGAACTCTTGTGAAACCACGAAAAGTGGCTCGACGAGCTTTTCCTAGCTTCACAAACGTTGTCAGGTTTCGCCAAAGTTTGACTTGTGAACCGAAACTAATGAAGCAGCGAAAGTGCAGTAGCCTCCCCCCCCCACATTCACTGCAGCCGAACTGCGCCTCAGTTCCATCCAGCAGATAAACATGCCACTAATAATAATTAATTCTCCAGACCACACATGCTGCCAAATACAATTTCGATATGGTTGAGAAGGCCTGGACAAAAACACACATCGAAGGAGCGCTTTTTATTATTCAGAGAGCTGATAAACCCTATTATAGGTATGGTTTTATATTTAGGTTCATCTGTTTCTCACTACAGCTGAGCACTTTAAAGCTGACTGTATGCTTGGCTTTTACTCGCTGAACAGGCCGGTCCAGTATAGATTTGCCGCCCGCCGCGATATTCCATTATATGTACAGACAGTCATAATAAAGATAAAGAGGCGGAGGTGGTGTAGTGACAAGTGGCGCGCGTACCCGCGCGCTTCCAGACTCAAATCCCAGGTCGACTCTCGCCCAGGCCAAATAAGTCTCTATCCTCCAGGAGCGGCAAATTAGTATTACATTCTCTGGGGGATAAAACACTGACTTATACATCGGCTGGCCCCTGCAATTTGTTGTACAGGCCACATCGCATTCCAATTGGCCGCTACGATTCTGAATGGAAGTAGAATGCGTGCTTGCTTCCAGAAGAGATTGATCAACGGCGAAGACTTCATTCTT